GGGGAAAAAAGTCATGACCATTTTTCCCCCCACTGATCCGTCTGTAAAGAAAAAAATATTAACTGAATGACTTGAATTAAAGCCAGAAAAAAATAACAGGGAACGTTCACTGGTTAAAAAAAGGCTATTTATTTTTCTTCTGTGGGCAGGTATTTATTTGGTCTAAAAGGTTCTGGTTAGTAGGGAACATTTCATATTGGTTTGTGTAATTTAAACCAAAAAAATTCCCACACACCTACGCTGCATTCACATTGGTGCAACATAAGAAAAAAGTGGGTTGTTTGTGGCTTATACAATTTACCCTGAAGTGTATATTTTGCTTGTATTTGAGGTATGTGGTTGTGTACCGAGTTATTTTAAAACAGGGAAACCAGATTTGCATCGTTTGTCCACATGACTGTGGTCTTTGTGAAAATGTATAAATTTTAAAGATTTGTAAAACCTGTCAATTTCATTCTGGGGTTTGCGATAACCAACAATTATGCAAAAGTAAGACAACAAATTGTCGGTGGATATTTTACATATTGCACTGGTTGAGCAGTGGAAGAAACATGAATATAAAGCATTTCTAAGTAGCTTAATAAAAACCCAAAACTTTCTGTGATGTTAAAGTGTTGATACTTTAATAAATGCTGACTTTTTAAATATGAGATATGGGAACCCCTGGTTAAGAGTAGCTACTTGCTCAACTTGCTTTAACTCATTTTCTTTTAAGCCTTGCAGCATCCATCAGCAAACCTGAGAAGCCTGTATCAGGTGGAAATCTGAAGTGAGTGATATAGCACTTATTCACAATGCTGTCTCCTCCTACGCCTGTAGGACTGACTGTACAACTTACATAACATTATGTAAATGTCTATAAAAGGTCTCATTAATGTTATCACAATGATGTGATAAATAATAAGAATTTGGTAAGCGTTTAATCCGCTTTTATGTTTCATGTTAAAATATGGATTATGGATTGAGAACTGCTGTACTGCTGGGCTTTTACAAAATTCTGACTTCAGGGCAGCCTGAGCGTGGACATGTGTGTTAGTGGATGAAAGAGAGGAAGAGAAAGACCGGTTGTGGGTAAAAGGTGAACTCTACAGATGAGTACTCCCTTATTAATGGGTAGAGAATGGCACACCAACACAAACAGCTAATAGAAGAAAGCAAACACACACACACACACACACACACACACACACACTCGCTAGGTCATTGGTACCTAACAATAGCACTTAATAGTACAGTGCTGAAAACCCCACTGACGGGGGAAACATATCCCTCTCTAGCGCAATGATTTGTGTGAAAAGTTCACCCCACACACACACACACACACACACACACACACACACACACACACACACACACACACACACACACACACACACAGATGAATTTGACCAAATTAAAGAAGCATTACATTCCCATGCTGTCTGTTAAAATTAAGGAATGTCAGGAGGGAGACAGTTCACAGTCGCTCCCTCTCA